GAGAGAGAGAGAGAGAGAGAGAGAGAGAGATACCTTACACTGCCCTACAATAAATTAATCCCTTTAAACCAATTCCTGTTTACTTTATTCCTTCTGTGTTGAAAAAATTCATGAAAAACAGGTAGAAATTGTGCTGCAAAGGTGTTACTCCCCCTTAAACTCTTTTTCCTGGTGATTCTCCATTTTGAACGGTATTTTTCTATTTATTAATTTACCTTTCTCGTATAATCTTTCAAATTAGCTAATTGAAAAAACGAATTGTTTGTTACTTTAATCACTTGGTCATTTTTTTCTTTCGCTTTTGTCGTTTTATCTATCGAGCGTGCCTGGACATAAAGAATGATCTGCAAACAAAAAAAGATTACAGATCTCAATTAGCATTTTGTTTTGCTGCCAAGGCCAGTGATTTTGGATTTTGTTCATGAAAACATCAGGATATTTTGGAAGTGAATTTCAAAAACAGTTTTTTGGGAAGTTTTTATGTGTTATACAATCTACTGATGATGATGTAATTTTATAGTATGCCTGGTCTTCGCCCTGTTTTAGCCCGACTTTAATCATTATATGATAGATCCGGGTTTAGTTCGGGGACATATTTTAGCCCTCTTTCAATTTTTTCTTGATGCAACCGGGTTAGACCCAAACCTAGTTTTGAAATAGCTTTTTATTTTAAAAAGAGAATATTCTTTCCAGAAAATAGAGAAAAATTTCTTTTATACAAGTGTTAGTTTTATTATTTCGACAATCGAGTAGATAGGGTGGTTCCGTTGAATATAGTAAGTTTTAGAAGGCCTTTGAAAATCAGATAAAAGAAAAAAGTCGTGAGGTCAGTAATAGAGAGACCCCGAAATGTTATGGAATCATCACTACCACCGTGCACCTATGGGTCGCTTCTTGTCGACAAAACTCTCTTTGGAGTCTGTCTCAGCCACCTACTATCTTTTGACATTGAAGAGTCGGTATCTGTGCCACCAAGTCCCGCGTACAACCTGCTCCAAGAGAGATATGCCTCTCTCGACCGGCACAACTTTGCGCCGTTTTGACGTGCGAGATAACCGTGCCATCTCAGGCCACACTTTTCATCTCTCTTCCTCACACACATTCGCGAATATGTGTTGTCACTCATACGTGTATTTCATATAGTTGTGCGACCTTCTTACATTATTATATATTGTACTCCATATCATTTTCTGCGGATGATATTCTCCTGGCTGCTTCATAAAATTCGACCTCCTTTCTCCGCCAAAGTCAAGGTTCCATAAAAATTTTCTCGTTCTGAACAAATCTGTTCATGCAGGTCAATTGCTTTTGTATTCATTTTTCATTTGTATCTTTGCCATTATTTTATTTTAGGGATTTTTTCTATTAACGCTCGTGGTGCAAATTCGGTTTTAAATCAGGGTTGCCACTCTAAAAATGATTAGATGCTAAAAAAATGTTCTATTACATTTACTTACGAATTTCTTTAATTGTAAAATTTTTCAAAAATTGTATTAAAAATAATTGAAATTCTACGATGAATTTTATTAGAGAAGAGTGAAGTAAATTGGGTTAGCCGGGTCAAATATGGGGTACCCCTGTTTTTCCATAATAGGTACTTTTAATTTTTTATCCTCGATATATATCATTCATATTAATAAGAAAATGTTATTAATTATGAAAACACTGCAACAATTTTTTTTAAAGTTATTATTATTATTATTATTTTAGCATTACATTTGCCTCAATATCTCAGAACGAGAAAGAGCTAAAATCTTCAATTTTTTTAAATTGTAGGGCTCCCCGGGGACATAAAATAAAAGTATTTTCAGCCCGATTCATAAAGTTTAACTATATTTTTTTTTGCATTTTTCATTTTGTAAAAAAACGTTTTTTGGTCATAACTTAAAAAGAATGTAAGGACACCTATAAATGTTTTTCTTTAGTTTTGTAGAATTTTTTTAGAAGCATCTTTTGAGCCTTCATTGAACATTTTTAGTCCATATTAGCCGGAGATATTAAAATTTTAAATATCTAAAATTTTGAAAAATAAGACTTTTATGAAAATTTTTTTAAATTATGTAGAAGTAACTTTAAACCTATTATTACCAACTTGAAGAATATTTAAAAACGCTTCGATTGACCTATTTTTGAACCTGATTCGGTCAGAAATTATGAAATTATTGGTATTTGAAAAATAAAAAATTGTGGAAAATATCATTTTTTCAACAATCTTGTTTATTAACTTATGTGTAATTATTAAACTATTATTACCATCTTATAGAATATATAAAAACACATTTTTTGGACCAAGATTTAATGATTTTTTACCCTTTTATAAAAACTAATTCTTATATTTGAATTATTTGTAGTCGTTTAATTTTCAAAATTTTTAAAAATCCTTTAATCAAATTTTCTTCTATATATGACTTTGTTATATAAGACCCTGAACAATTTTCCGGATGTATTGTGTGTGTGTGTGTAGGTCCCGTTTTTTGTTAACACGATAACTCGAAGAGGTTTTAACAAATTGCCAGATATATTTATCATAAAAATATCTCGAAATAGATTAATAGACTTTAAAAAATCTTCAGAAAAATTTTTTTTTGACTTTTAAAAAAAAATTTTTTTAAGTTGGTTATTAAAATTAATATATAATAAAATCTTATTCTTTGCACCAAGACAGATCGATTGGTATATATAAAGTATATATTGTATTTAAATTTATAGAATTAAAACCAATATTATAGAAAAAAAATTTGCACTTTTAATAAAAATTCATTTTTTCTTAAAAATCATGTTGCTGTACAGTAAAATGTTATTATTCATTAGAAAATAAATCAAAAATCTTATTCTTTGTATCAAGACGAATCGATTGATGTATATAAAGTATATATTATATTGAAAATTATCGAATTAATTACAATTAAAGTTGAATTCAACTTGTCGTTAATGCTTCTTCCACGAGGAAGCAAATTTTTTTTGCTGATCGTAAAGAGGAAGCAAAATTTTCATGTAATGAACATCTGGATTTACAACTTGTTATTTCTATGAGGAAGCAAAGTGTTTATGAAATGAACACCAAAGCGGTTTTTTGTTATGTCTCAGAGTGAAACTAAACATAACCAAAAGTTATATATTTAAATTGTCCGGCATCGGTGCGATTCAAACCTGATGTATTCACAAAGCGGAAGGTTCTTATATTAAGGAACAGGTTTTAAGAAAGAATAACTGTTAAATTGAAGTTAAATTGTTAAAGTTCTTATTTGAATCCTTTACAATTCGAATCTGAGAGAAAGAGTAGATCTAAATGTCTTCAGGGATACTGAAACAAAATTAGAACTTGTGGGTTCAATCGAGAATTTAAATGGGGACAAAATTGAAGAGTATTAGTAACTTACCTTTTAAGATTCTTCTTAGAGTCGTAGACCCAACAAGCGATACCTCCTACAGAGTGTGGTCGAAGAAATGACGTTGTCTAGCGGAAACAGAATATGCAGTAGATTTTATTCGAATTGTTTAAGGCGCTGCGCCAGCCAAAGTGAAATGATCAGTCCAGGTGTCAAATTAGTGATTTGACGTTGAAGTCGAAATAATGCAGTCCTCAGAAAAATAGAAATGTGCCTTGCAGTAAAAATTATCTCCTCAAATGAACTTGACTAAGACGAGACTTGAAGAATGCACTTGGTACTTTAAGAGATTTTTGGAACTGGAGTCGAAGAAGAATTCTTTCGGTTAATTTTTGAAAATAATTAAAATTTTGCCAAGAATCTTATTAAAATTTTTGAAAATAATAATTGAATTTCGGAAAAGAATTTTCTTATTTATAAACATAATTCAAATTTTGAATAGAATTTTTTTAAATTTTTGAACATAATTGAGGAGTAAGTTTTCAAAACCTGATAAATCCAAATTTTGTCATTTCGAGAAATTTAAAAAAATGACAATTCTCACATAACCCATTAAAACTAACTTTAATGTAGAAATATTGTAATAAATTATTCATTTTTGAATATTTTTTCTATTTAAAGCGCTCTGTATGTAATTAAAGTCTATTGTAATAAGGAAATTTAAAGGTTTTGGTAATTTTTTCTAATAAAAAAATTAAAAATCATCAAGGTTAGGCCAATATATTTTTTAAATTGAAAATTGTTTGGTAATAAATTTTTTTTCCTTAATTGAACAGTGATAAATCGATTTCTAAGGATTTTAATATTTTGAATATGTGTTTATCTCAATTTTTTTGAAAAATGTATTTATCAACTTTTGAAAAATTCCTCCTCAATAGAGGAGTTTATCTACGGCAAGATACACTTTTTTTTACATAATTAATATATAAGTAACAAAAATTAAATGATTGATACAAATTATCAATGAAGTATAGTTTACAATATCCTAATTATAATTATAATGACGCTGGAGATAGCATAGAATTCAAATTAAGAGTCGCTGAATAAAATTTATGAAAAAAAAGTAAAGGAAAAGAAAAACGATGAATTTTTAAAATACAAAAGAACATAAATTGTAATAAAAAAAAGAAAATGTTATTCTAGCGCAAATAGTTTAATCATCGAATTTAAATTTAATGTACGACCTTTCTTTTTAATTTCATTCAAAACTCCAATTTTATTGATTTTATACTAACGCCAATAATTGCCCAAGTTTGCGAATGCAGAAACCAAGCCGAATGTTTTATTTCTATATTGGGGCAATATTGTCCCAAGTTTCTAGTTTATCAAAGAGCAATTTTTAATCGAGGCTTAAATTCTTTTTCTGACTCATAAAAAAATACGTTATCGTTAGATTCTTGCGGTACACGACCAATCCCCCGAATCCAAACGCCCGAATAGATATTTTCCTGAATGGACATTCCCCCAAATCCAAACGCCCGAATATACAATTCCCCGAATTTAAATTTAAATTTTTATTCGACTTGAAGCTCGGAACAAAAGCATAAATAAAACTAAATGTATATGTGAAACAATTGAAAATCATTTGTTTATCTAACGTCAAAATTTTGAAAGTGTAGAACTAATCACGCAGTAAATTTGAGTCTAAATTTTCAGTTTTTATAAATAGCAGTTTAATTTAAAATGGATTTAAATATGTCACAGCCTCGAATTGTAGGAGGGAAATTATTATTAGAAGGTTACATTTATATTAAATCGAAATCAGGTAAAAATAACATTAAATATTAAGATTGCGAATACGTCCGACGAAAAGAGTGTAGAGCGCGTGCTATCACGCAAGAAAGTGCTAGAGGCTTAATTGTGTTAAAAGGTCCAGAGAGATCTCCGCATGAAGCGCACACGACTAATCACGATAAAGCCAAAGCTGAAGTTGTGATGGAAAACTTAAAACGGGAGGCTGAGATGCACCCTGAATGTCCTCCAGAACAGGTATTTAAAATAAAATAAAAATAAATAAAATAAAAATTTATTTCTCTTAACATGCTTAACCAAAAATGTAATCGATTTAAAATTTATACGAATTTCATTTTTTTTCTACAACAGATCGTACGCGAAAATCTGTGTGATTTGAGTCCCGCAGTGTTAGCACAACTTCCGGAAAGAGAGAACTTAAAAAAGACCATGAGAAGAGAAAGGAGACGCAAACTGCCTCCAAATCCAAAAAGTTTGGAAGACTTGAATGAACTGCCTGAATCTTATAAAAAAACATTTTCAAACGAACGCTTTCTTATGTACGATTCTCGAGATGATATTGCTTTCGGAGAGGGTCGCGTATTAGTTTTCTCTACACGCAATAATTTGGAACGTTTAGCTGATAGTGATACCTGGTATGTTGATGGTACTTTTAAAGTTTCGCCTTCACTTTTTACGCAGCTGTTTACCGTCATGGGCAAGGTTTTAAAACCCAATGTTAGAGGAAATGAACCTACTGTGATCGCCTTTCCATTTGTATATGCTCTCCTATCATCGAAGGAAACTGATCAGTACGAGGCTGTTTTTAGATCAATTGCTTCTATGGCTGCAACGTATGGTATCCACCATTGTCGACCTCAGAGAATCGTTAGTGACTTTGAAGTTGCCATTATTAATGCTTGCTGCTCTGTATATCCCAATATTCCGTTAAGTTGTTGCTTCTTTCATCTGGGACAGTCATTATAAATTTCTGGAAAATTTATCTTACAATATTCAATTATAATTCACTGTCTTGAATTTTTTTTATTTCATTAACCTCATTTATATATACAAGAATATATTTGTTTAAAATTACGTGTTTTCATTATATACAATTTTTCGGGCATAATAGTTTTCGGGTAATTGGATTCGGGCAAAAGGATTCGGGGAAATTGATTCGGGTTATTGTCTATTCGGGCGATTGGATTCAGGGGAATGTACGGGAATCGGACAAATCTATCAAGATCGAGATAAAACTGTCACCACCCGTGTAGAAATTTTGCCATGTCCCTAATCGGGGCCAGATCAGGCATCCCTATCAAGGCATGAAACACGTTCCCAGTTGGTCAGGAAATCAACATTGTCTGGTCTACCAGGCGTTTCACTTCATACTATAGCAAAATATGGCAATTTCTACAAGGGCAATATTGGTTTAATGTTTGACCAATGTGCAGCCAGTATGCCTTGGTCAGTCATTTAAAATTTTTGATTCTTGATGTCTCGTGTAGAAATTCACATATTTTTGCCATAGTTGGGAACGAAACGCCTCTCCTGATCAGATCCAGATCAGGGCGACGAGAAAATGTGGATTTCCTGACCAGGGCCACAACTGGCAAGGAGCTTCATTTCCTGATAGAGATGCCTGATCTGGCTCAAGCTTGAGTCAACATCGGGTCAATCTTGGCAACACTCTAACACCCATAAATTCCACTCTCTATCGATATTTAAAGCATTGCATCAGTGTAATTTCATTGTAATAATTAAATGAAAGATTATAAATCTCTCTGATACAAAATGTTTTCTTTCCTCTTTCTCGATACCAAAAATGGCATTGGCAAACATGAACGCGCACAATATACTTTATATAAATCCAACATATTATTCGAATACGAATTTGTTCATCGCTTTGTATCTCTGATTGATAAAGGAAGCGGTTCCCTTCTTGTGAGCAAAAGACCCGCAAGTTGCAATGCAACACACTATAGTGATCGTTTGGCGACAACCATGAATAATTCATGGTCGACGTTTCCTCATACTGTCTTGAACGCTCTTCTCAGAACGTGGCAGGACACAGAAAAGTAATGATTACGATCTTTTTTCACTCTTTCCCGTCCTCTCATTTGTGGTGGTATTTGGTGCTCTCAAAAACTTTGCAATTCTTTTTTCTTCTACTGGTTTGTTTCTTTTTTTTCATGATACCTGATGATTTTTATGAAGACGCGTAAAATGTTATTATATTCTTGAGACCGCACACTGATGACGATGGTTCGTCCGTCAATGTCAGAAAGATTAAAGTTTCTAAAGACTTGCTTTGTTCGTTTTTTTACACTTTTATCTTATCCACAAAAATTCTGTAGTTGTGACTTGTTATCAACATTATTATTTTGCTTAATTATGAAAAAGATTTATCTCGAATTTCAAATTCTTGAAATTTTTTATCACGGTATGCTGCGTGATAGGGAATTATTAACATTGTCCAAACAATGGCGTGGAGATAATTTTTCTTATTTTTACTTGTGTTTTTCTTTTATTGTAATTATTAGCCATGTGGAAATTGACAAATTTGGCTCCAATCTGTCTTGAAACCGCCTGCCTGATTTGGGCCTAGTTTGGGACTTTTGCCAAATTCTCTGGATGAAAAATGGTTTTTTCGGCACAGTGTAGAAACTGACAAGCTTGGTGCCAATCTAGAATGAAACGCTTTTCCATATCGTGGCCAGTCTGGCTATTTATGGTCCCTCTTTGAGTTAATTTTTTTCTTTGGCTTCATCTTGTAACCACGATAGAGTAAAGCGTTTAACTAGGCCTGATTGTATGCCCCATAGTGCGATTAAGCTCAGGTAGAACTTAATTCTATGGCCCCTATCGGGTCCTATATTCAAGCTTGGCTTCCAATAGGACATGGTCTTTCTCCCTACATTTGAACTTTGGTATTTTTTTAGGAATGATTTTAAAAATCATTTTTGTCTGAAAGAATGAGAGAGTGTAGGTGTGTTAAACAACACGTTTATCCGTTTTCGAATCGGGCAATCGTACGTGCTGTCCGCTCTCGATTATCTTTCCAGTATAATCAAGTATATACGCATAATACTCAGATTGGCGAGTCTCGCATGTACCGAAAAGACACGTGTGAATTTGTACACATGCCTTCTTCTATCGTACGTTTATTTCAATCTCAAAGTTCTGCTCGGCTAAAAAGATTCAAAAATGATTCTTCCCATGTCCTAGTCATTGTCAAGTTGGGACCCGATTAAAATTACTACAAGAATTATTTGTTGCCAATATTGGCACAAAATTGAAATTGCAGAAAGCCTCGAATTAAAATATTTAACCGTGATCGCTCCAAGGCTCTCAATAAAATAGAAAATTATTTTTCTGGACTAATATTTAGAACTGATATTTTAACTCAAGGCTTGGGCCAATAATTGACTTAAGCCACTGTTGCAATAGCAATAAATATTTACTAACTGGAAGTTAATAAACGATTAATCATAATATTCCTTACATTTTCTGAAATACAAAACCGCCAGTGAATCATTATATAAGACTCTATATACACATTTGAAGGAAACTTTCATTTTCCATTCACAGATTAATCTACAAGAATTCTTGTCCTTCCCCATATGATAATATATGTATATAGGAACTATTCGTGTGGTCTAGGGACAAAACAATGACACTATGTCTCGGCACTGCGAGACGGTAGTAATTTGTTGTACAGTGAAAGAAGGGTCGGAGAGAGAGAGAGAGAGAGAAAAGAGAATGAATGAGTGAGATAGTATGTGACAAAGACAGAACGAGAAGGAGAAGCGAGTCTTATACGCAGTTGAAGCAATTCTTATCATTGCCTGTGATCTAATCTCTCTTAAGAATCAGGCATCCTATACTATTATCATTCAGAGAATCTCTTCAAAAAAACCCCTTCGTCCCCCTACACTCTTCCACTCCTCATCGTATATATTTTCTTTTCTTCCTTCACATCCTTTGTATCTCACTGGTGTATACACTACATGTCCCAGTTTATATACACATTTGATATCAGAATGTTAGCAGAATTTTTTGCATAATTATCCTGATATCTATATTTATTTTATAAATAGAAATATCCATTTTTGTCAATTTTCGAACAGGAATTTGTAATTAAAATTTTCCACTCTGGATAATTTCGTTTTGCCACAATTTAAACACAGTAATAACTTTGTGCGATTGCTTATATATTATAGACTTTATATTATAGACTGTGGAAGTTTGTTAGACAATCTATTTAGAGAATTGTGTTGGATGGTAGATATGATGGCATTGGATTATGAAATTTGAATGTATATATGTGTTATAGATAGAGTGTGCTTAGTGATAACAATGAATGGTTTATGGATATCTCTATAATTCTTGCTCTTATTGCACTTGGGTTGAATCCAACATTATCAGGATTTCTCCTAATCTTGCAGATTTCAGTTGTTGATTATAAACGATGATTTATGGAGAATCTTTCTGATTAGTACTGGACATTATTGTATGTTGTCATTTAATATCAGAATTTCTAATATATATATATATACCGTCCGAAATTGTGCGAACGCTAACATCTCGAGCTATTAAAAAACACACCCGCACAGAAACAGTGATAACTCGGTTGAAAATGAAGCTAGATGCTTTTTTTAAGTTGCATTGGAAAGCTTATTAAATTTTCAATGAAATGCTACTATTTTAAGTCGTATTGCATAAATAGGAAGCGAGATATCATGTTATAAAGACAAAAAAATAATTCTATTTTTTTCGGAATTTCTTACTCTAAATTTGAGTCCTGGCAAAATTTAGAAAAGCTGATGAAAAAAATTGTTACTTTCACAGACTATTCCTTGTAACCTAAGCTTTAAATAGAGACCAAGAACAGCAAAAAATATTACCAGGTTCCCGAGTGATTACAAAAAGAGTCGGACCGTGCGAAGCAGAATTTTCAATCATCGATTTCTCTAATTCGCCGTTGAGTCAATTGCGTGGCTGTGAAAAAAGTGTTGAAAATTAATTTTACCAAGTTCATTTTTTAATTTATTATATAATAAATTAAATTAAAAAATGGATCCCAGTAAGAATGTACTTGGTAAAATTAATTTTCAACACTTTTTTCACAGCCACGCAATTGACTCAACGGCGAATTAGAGAAATCGATGATTGAAAATTCTGCTTCGCACGGTCCGACTTTTTTTGTAATCTCTCGGAAACCTGGTAATATTTTTTGCTGTTCTTGGTCTCTCAATTTTTTTCATCAACTTTTCTAAATTTTGCCAGGACTCAAATTTAGGGTAAGAAATTCCGAAAAAAATAGAATTATTTTTTTGTCTTCATAACATGATATCTCGCTTCCTATTTATGCAATACGACTTAAAATAGTGGCATTTCATTGAAAATTTAATAAGCTTTCCAATGCAACTTAAAAAAAGCATCTAGCTTCATTTTTAACCGAGTTATCACTGTTTCTGTGCGGGTGTGTTTTTTAATAGCTCGAGATGTTAGCGTTCGCACAATTTCAGACGGTAGTGTATATATATATATATAATAGTATATATACTAAAATTATTTTTATTTGATGTAATCATATCAACGGCTGTATTAGTAGCTTAACCTCAAAACAGTCAGAATAGTAACTTTTTCACTAACGCATTGCACGTACTGAGCCAGTAAAATGCCGGAGTTTCTTATAATAATACAAGTTACACGGAAAGTCAGTACTGTCAAACAGTATTATATTAGTAGTGGATCGGACGTTAACTACGGTTGTTTACGGAAATTTTTGCCTGGGTATATATATATATATATATATATATATATATATATATATATATATATATATATATATATATGTGACGCGATCTGAAGAAAGGGACCTTAGAAGCAAAAAATTATAGGTTATGTTTGCAATTTTCTAAATGAAAATACAAAAAAAGGATCAACTGTCAATATAAATCATTGATGTTTAAGTCTTCATT